CCATTTTTATTAGTAAAAATGGTGTTGGATTATAATCATAACATGTACTACCCGAATGATCCGGTATTGTAAAATTGTTTTTTTTATACGTTGCACACCGTGTGAAAAATCAGTCGTAATAACATCAACGTTCTTACCTCGAAACGTTATTGCCAACACAAAGAAAACTTTAATTTTCATAAAGTAACGATAACGATAAGTCATATGGTGATACCTTAAAAAAAACTCTATGATGATTAAAGATAGCATCAAATATAACATAAAATCTTTGGCAAAAATAAAATAAATTAAAATAAATAAAAGAGGAAATATAATTAGCCAGCTTGGTTTTTGTTTTTGTAAGCGTGTTTAGTAATATATTGGAGAAAGCACAGAATAGTATTGATCATCTACACTAATGTAGATCAAATTTATTTGTCTGAAAAAGGATTCGCTTCACTGTAATAATTTGTTACAAGATCAAGCACGTATGATCTCAACAATGCGTATGGTTTTATTATCCCTATACGTTGAATATTAACAAATACATACGTACATCTGTACGCACATACCAGATACGTAATTTCTTACCTTGTTAGTTTCATCGATTTATTTGTTCGATCATCACCGCGTTTTCATTTAAATACGTACGTACATACGTGAATAAATGAAAATGTTACACATTTATTGCATTTATTGCATTTATTGCATTTATTGCATTTATTGTATTAGTGTTACCTTTTACTGTTTTAACGAAACATATAAACTTTTGTTTTTCACGTGATATACTTATTATTTGCTGTATTAAGCAACAAACAGCAATAATCATAACGATAAGCCATGAAATAATCCAATCAAAATAAGCCAACGACGAAAATGGTCTTCGCGTTCGTTCTTTCGACGTTACTATTACTTTTAACATTGACAGGGTCCACCTTTAGGTTAATCTAAGTTTGGACCACCAATAACGGTAAGCCACATCAGTCTTTTTTTCTATGTTAAGCCACACGGGCTATGATATATTTGTTGCTTGCTATATATGATATTTCAAGTATTTCAAGTAGTTTCGTGTGCGTTTTACGTAAACGTTTGCGTTTTTTTTGATACATATACATATATAACTGATATAAGTGTGCCACTTTGATCACTTTCGTTATTACACATATTTAACGTTGACGAATTGTTGATACTCATATCCAACGTTGATGAATTGTTGATTAAATTAAAATGTTGTCGTAATTCTGCTTGATTTTCGTAATTCTAAAAAAACATATTTTGTAACAATTAACGTTAAGCTTGATTATTTTATTTTGTAACAATTAACGTTAAGCTTGATTATTTTATTTGGTTAAAATATTCGCCATGCTTGCTTTTCATACTTTTGAGGCTTATCCAAAAAATTGTTATTATTCGGTGAAAAAACACGATTTGATTCAAGCAATCACAACTTTTTAATTTCAATTATAATTCCCAATTCAATTTTTTTTAATTTTTGTTATTTTTATTTATTTATTTATTTTATTTTATTTTTTTTATTTTAATTTTACTATTTTTATTATTACTATTGTTTGTCTTTTTACCTCGAAGTATTTCTTTTTTCATTTTACTTCTTGATTATTAGACTTTTGAATTATTAGACTTTTGAATTATTAGACTTTTGATTATTAACCTTTGATTATGAACCTTTTGATTATTGACCTTTTGATTATTGACCTTTGATTATTAACCTTTTATTATTAACCTTTGATTATCAACCTTTGATTATTAACCTTCGATTATTAAAACTTCGATTGTTAGACTTCGATTGTTAGACTTTAATGGTTACGTTAATAAAAATAATTTTACAATGATTCTTAATGATTATATCTCATTTTTGAGAAATATCAAATATTTTTTTATATTTTGTATATTGGTAACTACAACACCGCGATACTCAATAGTAAATTGCGAGTCTGATCATTCTATCCATTTTAATCAATCTGAGCAGCGTTTAAGTAACAACCGTCGTAATTTCAAATCTACTTTGAGGAAGAGGTCATGTATTAAAAACAGAAGTGCTTCAAGTGATCAATTAATTCAAACTAGACAAGAAATTCAAACTAGACAAGATAGACAAGAAGAAATTCAAACTAGTCAAGATAATGGAACTTTTACCAACGTGACAACATCAAATCAATTAATTAGTGATGGAGCAAATTCTGTTTGTGGTGATCTTTGCATTTTAGGAATTATGATTGGAATAGGTGTTATAATCGTTTTAATCGGTTTTGGTGTATTTTTTGTGATACGAAAAAGAAAAAGAATGAAAGTGGGTAGTACATCAAAACGTATGACACCCAGTTCTCCAACTACTGTAGATGATTTTCTTAAACCATCATCAAGTCCTCCATTATTTGAATCCAGATTAAATGATGAAGCTGAAGAATTTGCTTTAAAGTTTCCTCCACAAGAAGAAATTCCTCCAAATGAACATGTTGTATATATTCAAAGTCTTGGTGGTGCAAAAGCTTGGGAATGGGTACCTGATGAAGATTTATTATCTCAACAACTCGTTTCAATAACCAATGAAGGAAGTGTCATCTCTTTTAAAAAAAGAATCGATTCCATGGTGCAAACAAATTATCCTTTCTTTATCCCTCAAACCGAAGGAGATACTATTTATGAACCTCCATTTGAACAACCCGAAACTATGGAAAAAAGAGGTGGTCAAATATTGCATTATTTTGAAATCACTATTTTATCAAATCCAGATATAAAAAATACTACTATAGCGATCGGTCTTGCCACTAAACCATACCCTCATTTTAGGTATATTCACATGTCTAATCAATTATTGCTTATTAATTATTAATTATCTTATTAATTATTATTTTAATATTATTATTTTATTAATTATTTTACGTATTAATTAATTATTATACATTACATAGATTACCAGGATGGAATATATATTCGGTTGGTTATCATTCAAATGATGGAAAAAGATTCAATGACGCACCTAGTGGTAGAGATTATAGTCACCCGTGGGGTGAAGTAGGTGATACTGTAGGTTGTGGATATAATCCAGATGTTGGTCAAGTATTTTTCACAAAAAATGGTCAATTCTTAGGGAATGCATTTACAAATATACGTCATATATGGTTTCCAACTATAGGTGCTAATGGTCCATGTACTATAGAAACTAATTTTGGTGATAATTATGATAAAGAATTTAGATATGAAAGTGCTCGTGGTTATGGACCTGGTGGTCCTTTATTAATTTCTGATAAAAGGCGACCGAAACCTAGTCGTAGTAGTAGTACTAGAAGTACTCATGCTTTAGATAGTCCTCGTATTAGAACCGATTAATTATATTTGTTTCCCTTTTTTTTTTTTTTTTTTCTTCTTTTTTATTTGGTGGGAATCTTTTTTTGGTGGCTTTAAATATTAACTTGATAAAGTTTCGAATAGCATTTTGTAATTTTTTTTGTAAATAATCATGAATGAAATACCGTTTGTAAAAATGTAATATGTTGTGAGTGGGAATTGTTAAATTTAGTAAATATAGGTTTAGTTTAGATTACTGTACACGTACGTATCAATAACTGTACGTATCAATATGTACGTATATACACCTTGTATATATTCCTTGTTTATATTCCTTGTTTATATTCCTTGTTTATTATATCTGGTATATACAAATGACAATGACCTTGATCTAGACCCTACCACGATAAACTTAATCATTATCCCTAACTTTAACTTTAATCTTAACTTATTCCTCTTTGGAATTAACCTTGATCCCAATTCTTTATTTGTATTTTTTTTTAAAATTTTTCGTTTCCACTTACAACATACTGTCATAAAAAAAAGTTAATATTAGCTATACTATAATATATAGATACTATAATATATAGATAGATATATATATATATAATCTATATGACATAATATATACTGAATACGTACGTACGTACGTAAAATATAAATATAATCAATCGTACGTACATAATAAATGTAATAAAATCTTGCATTTCGATAGTTATCGCTTCGTTATGTATTCTAATCAATTTCTATCGCTGAATAATCAACGTCCCTTGGATGTGATATGATGTGACATGATGTACGTTACGTACGTACGAACGCACGTTACGTACGTTCGTACGTACTAGTGCGTGCGTACTAGTACGTGCGTACGTAATTGGTTGTGATGACCAGTTCATATGAACCATTAATATGATGTACATTTCGAAACTTCGAACTTCTATCTTCGACAATATTCGATTTTATATTCGACTGTAATGTAACAATATGTATTACAAACATGATCTATTGAAACCGTTGATTGGTTCAAATAATAAATTATTATTTATTATTCTAATCACATGGACAAATAGTTTCATCTGATTTTCATATGGCCGCAGTATTGCTTTAATAAAAATCCATGTGGCAGTTTTAAGTCGATCCTAAGAACGTTATTCTACTTGACAAATAAAAAAATAAAAAAAAAAAAAAAAAAAAAATTCCGTCTGATATTCTGTTATCGATACCTGAAATCTTGATACTTTAAAAACAAATCAAAAGTTCACATTTTCCCGAGATGACGTTCCCTACTTTTCTTCTTCATGAATTTCTTTTGGATTTCCAAAACGATAGAAAAACTCTCTATACTTGTGCATTAGTGAATCGAGAATGGTGTAGAATAACGATTCCTCTTTTATGGAATAATCCCATAAAATTATTACATGGACCTGATGATTATTATCCATATCATAGATACAGAAATAATCATGTAAAACTTGTTGATACATATTTATCATATCTTAATAACGAAGAGAGAGCCAAGCTTATTAAAAATGGATTCAAACTACCGTTAAGAACTAAACCTCCAATATTCGATTATATTTCTTTCTTGAGATATATTTCAAATGGTGATATTCAAATGATTAGTTTATTCTGGTGTTTATACTTTGATGCTAGCAAGATACCAGTTATAAATCCTTTAAATTCTTTTGGTACTAAACGAAAAGTAAAACCTGCTTCTAGTTTATGGAGTTTAGTTCGAGATATCTTTGATATATTCAACAAGAAATCAAGATCATTAACTACCGAAATCGCTCAAGTTGCTCATGCTTCCGTAGTTCCTCCTATGGGTGATGATTTTTATACAACTGATGTATTACTGAAATCCGAAATAATACATCATACTCTTACAAAGTTGATAATAGATCAATGCCCTTCTATTAAACATTTACAATCAACCTCAACTCTTATTGGATCTAGTTCAAACAGTAATTATACGGAAATAATGTTAAAATATCCACGACTTCATGAATGTTTTACTCATTTAAAGAGTTTTGAAAGTCGAAGTAATTTCTATAGAGGAACTTCATTTGATATACTTTCCAAAATATGTCACGAACTACGTAAGATTGAAGTCTCTTCATGTAATCCAACACATTTATCAACTGTTAATGAAAGTAATGAAAATCCAGCTATAATAGAATCTCAAAAATTATCAAATCTTATCAAAGTTCAAAGATGCTTACGTGAATTTATACTTTGGAATTGTAAAGTAGGAGTTTTAGATATTATTTATTCTTTAGTATCAACTCAACAATATTCAATGCGATCTCTTTCTTTTCATCATTGCGATTTTCAAAATATCGTTTGGTTGCACGTTCTTTCCGATTTACCAAACTTGGAGACCTTAATATTTAATCAATGTATCAATGTTTCTGACAAAACGTCATCAAAACTTGTGCTCTCTAATCTTAAACATTTAAAATATATTTATGGATATACATCACCAAATGCTTTAATGACTTTATTAGACTCTACCAAAAATACTTTAGTGGAATTAGATACTGGAAAACCTCATTTTAAATTAAATCTTATAACATTTGATCCCAGAAAATTCCACTTTTTAGAATCGGATCTTTTTAATCACATAGAATTATTAAATAATATAAAATTATGTGAAAATTTAACCTCCTTATCAACTTATGTTTATTCAAATACTCAAGAAAATTTATTCACCACACTTTTAAATTTAGATCAATTAAAACATTTGGTGATAACTGAAATTACTTATTCATTAGATACTAAGCAAAAAAATTTAATCTTTTCCGAATTTTTAATTAAATTGGCAAATCATTTACCTTCAACTTTAAAATGGTTACATATAGGAACAAAATTTGGAATAAGAAAGAATATTTTACAAGATTTTAAGTTAAATACTTTATGTAAATTTAAAAAAATTGCCGTTTTTGGTGGCTTGGATTGGGATATGGAAAATCAAAAGGTGGAATTTGAAGGGGTTTATGATGAATTGAATATTGATGAGATTAAGAATAGTTTAATTCCAAATTATGGTATTATATTTTCTGTATAAAAAAATTGTTGGTTGAATACGTAATGGTGAATAATGACGAAATATTGAATAGTGTGTGTTTAGTGTGTGAATAGTGGTGAAATAGTGTGTATAATGTAAACAATTTGAATAGTGGTGAAATAGTGTGTATAATGTGAACAATTTGAATAATGTGAACAATTTGAATAATGTGAACAATTTGAATAATGGGAATGATGTGAATAATGGGAATAATGTGAATAATGAGGATTTTAGATTAATAAGGATTTTAGGTTTTTTTTTTTTTTTTTTGATGATAATGGAAAAATGTCACATCGCATCGATTTTTTTTACTTTATTTTTAGTTTTTTTTTTTTTTTTTTTTTTTATTTTTTCTTAAAATATATTATAAAATTTCACAAAATTACGGTAGTGTACTGTATGTTACATAAACGTTAATGGATTAATTTTAAAAATTATTGTGCATTGTGCATAATGATAATATTAAGTATTGTTAGAAGTTGCAGATAAATGCATTCAAAAAAAGTTACTCTGTTTTTAAAAAAAGAAAAACATTGTAACATAATTTTTGATCAAAAAATAGATTAAAATAAATTTTATGTACGTAAAGTACGTACTGTTACTGTACGTACGGTAGTGAATTCTTTTGAAAACCAAATAAAGAATAAAATATTTTCTCAGCTAAGCGAAAAATTTATTTATATTTCAAGATTATTACTAGTACGATTTTTTTTTTTTTTTTTTTTTTTTTTGGCCCAAATCCAGGCGTTTGGTCCAATTTTTTTGTTTTCAATATTCAGGTAACAAATTGATTGATTAAAAAGGTTTTTTTTTGGTTTGAGTTCTTTTGTACACCTACCTATATTTAGATGTCCCTTGGAGTTAAATGTATGAACCGTACCTTAACGAATATATATGTCCTTATAAATACTTTGATGAATGCGAGAAGATTAGGTAAGTGACCTCCGGTGAATACGTACAAGTTTCGTAATTTTTTGAGTTATGAGTTATGAGTTATTGGTTGTTAGTCCAGTAGCAGTAGCAATAGCAATAGCAATAGCAATAGCGACGATAGTGATAGCGATAGCAATAGCAATAGCGACGATAGTGATAGCGATAGCAATAGCAATAGCAATAGCGACGATAGCATTAGTAATAGTAATAGCATTAATATCGACGATGGTAATATCGATAGAGTAATCTTATAAACAATAATAATAATAATAATTCATAATAATTCAGAATTGTAAATCTTCAATCTCAGAACAAATTAAAAGTGAGCGTTAATTAAAAAAAAATTGTCAATATAATTGGTGCGTATCCGGGTAAATGTCTTTTGTTTATATATATGTACTCATGTTTGATGGCTGAACCCAAATTGTCGTTGTTGTTTCTAAAGTTAGATTCCAGAAAACGGAGAATTTCTTTTAAAATCTGATCTTATCCAAATAAAATCGACTTCCAAGTATTACTGTATTAAGGTTTAAAAAAAAACTGTCTTACTAGTCACACTACGCAACTGTCTTCCACTCCACAAAAAACCCTGTTCTTGTCTCTGTGATTTTGTGTCGCTGTTTACTGCACATAATTTTTGGACTACTGCAACATTACATTTTTCTTATCGTAGTTGTGGCGCTGTCTTCTATACCGTGTCATTTTTGGAAAACCTTGTGTCACTATTTGCGCCAATTAGTATTTGATAAGAAAGAATTTGATTGACTCTTTTTTAGTTGGATTATACCTTTCCCAAATCGTTACTATCTTCACGTTCTTTTTTCTCTCTTTATTTGTTAGATTCTCGGTTAATTCTTGGTTATTATTTCTATTTTGTTGTATATTTTACTTTCTTCTCCATAATCAAAAAGCTATCGAATGACTGCTTTCGTTACATGCTTCTCAAATGTTCAGATTCCTTCATGGACCCCTTTGTCGGATAATGCTTATATGATATGTGAAATCATATCTCACTTAGTTGAACAACAATCTGATCTGGTCTCTTGCTGTTTAGTATCTCGTTTATGGAATACTTGTGCTACTCCCTGTCTTTGGAAGGCTCCACGTCTTAAACGCGCTTCCACTCTTGAAAAATTTGTTAGAACTTTGGTGAGATCTCAACAGAATTGTACCATTTATGCTTATGGTTGTTTGGTACATACTCTCGACCTCTCTCGTCTTTCGTTTTCTTGTTCTGCCGCTGAACTAAGTCTTATATCCGAATGTTGTGGTGTCCTGAAGAATATTGATTTTTCAAATTGTCAAAAACTCAGGAATGATACTTTGACTAGAATCTCTGAGCGGTGTTCAAATTTACGTTCTCTCAAGTTATTAAATCTTCCTTATATTACTGATGAATCTTTTATAAATATTATAAATCGTTGTAACCGCTTAGAACATTTTGCTTTTGGCGATTGTGTCGGCATTACGAATCTTTCGTTACTTCATCTAGCTCGTATGAAAAATCTCAATACTCTTGAAATATTTTTTGGAAACAATGTTACAAATGAAACTCTCGTTCTTATAACACAGGGTTGTTCGAAATTGAAAAACTTACATATTTGGGACTGTGGAACTCTTGAAGATGTTGCTATCATCCAGATGGCTAATAATATGAATTTAAATCTAGAATCTCTTATCCTTCACAATCCTCAACATATTACCGATTTATCACTTACTCATGTCGCTAGCAGATGTATCAATTTGCGTCATCTGGGCTTAGAACCATGTGAGGGTGTGACCAATAACACTTTGATCGCGTTAGCAAATTATTCTTGTCATTTGGAATCCATTCAGATCTCGTTAAATCGAGCTGGTAGTGGTTTATCTAATGATGGATTTATATATATGTCCGAACGTTTGAGAACACTTTGTAAAATTACTTTTCAACATTCAACTCCACTTGTCACTGATGTTACGTTAAGCATGTTGGCAATCAGATATGCTACAACACTTACATGTCTTCACCTTTATAATTGCAATTTTACTGATTCATCTCTTATAATGATCGCTCAAAATAGACCTCCAATCAATGATTTATGTATTTTTGACCTAATGAAAATTAATGATGATTCGGTTATTTGCCTATTACTTAATATTTCTACTACACTTACTTCACTACAAATTTCAAATTGTGAAGGTCTTACGGAGAAGACTGTGACCAGTGGCATTAAATACTGTACTAAACTTAGAAAATTATGTTTATTTACTTCAAGTGATTTTACTGTTACTGGGTTAGATGCTATTGTTAAGAGTTGCATAGATTTAAGGGAATTTTATTTAGCAAGTACCGAAGATATTCCTAAAGAGGTTTTTTGAAATTTTTTTTTTTTTTGTTTTATTCTTAAAAAAATATATATATATATCTTTAAAAAAAAAAATAATCTTAAAATTGAAAATATTAATATTAATATTAATATTTCTTTTTTTTTTCATATACTTTCCCAAAAGGTTATCGCCTCTGAACTTATGTGTTTGCGTAAGTTGGAAAAATTGAGGATTCGTAATTGTCCAAGTTTATCGAAAGAAGATATTTTGATGATTTGTTGTGGGTGTGCTTCGTTACAAGAATTCTTTTTTGGACGAAGCGCATATTTGACTGAAGAATTTGTAAATGATTTTAATTCGGATGGAAAAAGGCGACCACTTTTGGTATTAGGACCTTAATCATCATTAAAAAAGAAAAAAAAGAAAAAAAAGGCAGAAAAAGCAAAAAAAAAAAAAAAAGTGGGGGAGGAAAACCAAAAAAAAAAAAAAAACCAAAAAAAAGGAAAAAATTTCTTTTTCTTACAATATTTATTTAAGGAAAGAAAAATGGTCGGATTGAACAATTTTTAACAATATGGATTTACTTTTTTTATGTTATTTTTTAACGCAATACGGATTTAGTTCTATTAAAACGTTGTGTTGATATCACTAACATCTTTTGTGACTTAGACCTTAAACATATGGTAAACATAAATGTAGCCAATAGTTATGCATTAGCGTTACTAAGAAATTAAGGTATTAACAAGCTTTTTAATCGTTCTAAGGAAATTACGTGCATTTATTTTTGAAGATAGCTTAATAGTTTGGCGTTAATTTCATAGCATATAAAGCACTCATTCCCATTTCCTATTACGAAAAGAAATATATAAATATGATTAAATGATAATAAATATATATATATATGAAGGTATGTAAAATTATATTGCACATAACATACGTAAGGGTTCTTCAATGTAATCATCATCATCATAAAGAACGAATCGTCATATGCTTTATCAGCTCGCTAAACTGAATGAATGAAAACCTTTCTTTACATAAAAGGTTAAAGCCTCAGTTGAGCTATGGTTTACGATTATGATTCTAAATGTTCTAAATGAGTTGCGGACATTTATTTGAAGATGTTTTTACGTATCCTATAAATGGACTATTGTAACCTTTGTCTAAGCTAATTAGCCAATGAAATTAATTTCTATTTCCTTCGAATTAGAAATGTTTGCCTTGAATCTTATAGTCTATAAATCGATATTAATAAATCTATTTTCTGCGTTTACAATAAAGGAAGGCTTTTTAATGCAGAAATAACTAGACTATAATTGTAAATGGGAAGAAATGACAATAGGCACTCACGATGCTTTTAAACTAAATTTATAAAAAATTCTAATACAAATCCACGCGAATTTTTACGTAACATTTGGCATCCATGTGGTATAAAAATACATGTGGTAAATTTAATTAAAAAAAAAATGTGCAGAAATTAATTTGCATTAACAATTAAATTATATATAAATGATTCCGAATGTTTACTACGTACCGCATGCACAAATCTGTTTTATTGATTAATTAGTGTTTTTCTTTCTTATTCGATGCCAAATTTTGACATCTTGGCATAAAAAGTTTGCGCATAGTGGATAAATATTTCTATAGTTTAACTCGGCACGAAATACGCAATAAATTGGTTTATTTATTACACTTATCGAGTAAATGATAATCTTTCTCAGAATCAAATTTCACTCTGACGCAACTCAACTTTAAATCTACGCCTCTTCGAATCTGACGCACGACATATGAGTGTCGTCAAGGGAAAACCCATATTCTGGCTTTCAATTATATTTTTGTGCTTAGTTTATTTTCTGAGTGCTGTCTAGTGATAATCTATCATCGGATTTCAATTATATTTTGTGACAAGTCATTGCAAATAATCGAAAGTCCGACGATAGATTTTCCATAGACGGTACACAGAAGATTTACTGTAAACAAAATATAATTGAAAGCCAGAATGTGGGTTTTCCCTTGACGGCACTCATATATATTATCAAAAAAATTTTATTTACCCGTATAGTTCCGAAAATAAGCATCATCCCTCTATACATGTTGGCAAAACTATTGGGATTTGGGATTTGGAATTTGGGATTGGGATTTGGGATTTGGGATTTGGGATTTGGGATTTGGGATTGGGAATTTGGGATTGGGATTTGGGACGAATTTTATTATGTTTGGGATTTGGGATTTGGCATTTTATTATGTTTGGGATTTGGGTGGGATTTTAGGATTTATAGTTTTGCCAACATGTATACATCCCTCTACTCCATTTTTTAAATCTCAGACTATCGAGAATAACTTTGTTAAATATCTCATTAATACTCTGTTAATCTGACATTTAAAAAAATGGGGTAGAGGGGTGTTGCTTATTTTCGAAACTATACGGGTAAAGATTTTAATTTTTAAAAAAACAAACTGTAACGGTAAGCAATTACTTAGGTAAATTCGCTTACGTATGGTTTTAGGGATACTATATGTATGCATATTCATGCAAACTATTAATGAACTAAATCATTTAGCCGGATAAGATATCTTTCGACTGACTATTCCGGAAAAACGTTTATCAGCTCGAAACACTAGCGTTAGTGATTGAAAAATTTTGTTTATCTTTGCTAAAATCAAGCGTTACTTTCGGTGCCTCCTATACAGTAGGTGACTTACAAGTGACAAAATAGCCAATCAAAGGTCAAATGTCTTGATTACGAACGTCATTTAATAATGGAAAAGAATAATATATAACTACAAAAGGGTAATCTTTACAATGAGATATTAAATTTTCGTTTTTTGTTTAAATCACTCAATAATTAGAATTCTTTTTTCATATATATTTTTTTTATCTCATTAATATTATACCGTGCACTTCATTACTTTGCGTTATTGATCAAATACTTGAAATTAGACAGAATGTTAACATGCTTGTAATATCAACAAATATCGTTGTAAAATTTGTCGTTGGGGTGGAATTAAACGAATTATATGTATGTAATAACGGTGGTTTATTAAATTATTATTGCAATTAGAGTATTTATCGCAGAAATTCTTGTCTATTCAAAACTAGTTACAATATAACGAAATATTTCGGTTACATGTATAATACAGCATGAGCGACGTCCAAGGAAAACTAGACTTTGTCTTCGGCTTTTAAATCTAAAACTTACCCTAAAAAATCTGAATTTAATCCGACATGTTATAAATTTAAGAATCCAGAGTTTTAGTGTCACTTTATATAAATCATAAATTTAGTTAAATCCCCACACGTTCTATTTTCACGCACAACATATATCTTTGAAAAATTATATTTTATATTATGTATAAGAAAAATTTTCTGATTAGTAAAATTGTTATTAATTAATTTATGCAAATTAAAATGATAAATACAGTATTTAATTTGGACTTGATGCTGAGAAAAAGGACAATGACAAATTTGACAAAAAAATAGTACGCACAAAAAATTAATTATCTCGTAAATTATAACGTTGTTACACTTGAACTACACCCCTTAATGGTAGTTCTAGGAACGTCGTGGTTATAGTATAAAGACTATGACCTTGTGATTTGGTTAGGTAAGGGCGTCGAATATACGACTTAACAAAGAGGTTTTACTAGGCTTTATCGAAAGAGGCGGCAACTAAATGTATATGAGGATACAAATAGTTGTAATAATTATATGATATCCTTAGTATTTAGAGTGTATATTAGGTAAGCTCACGGACATCAATGTCCTCGAAAGTATGTGAAGTAATATAAATTTTATCCAACAAGTAAAGTTACGATCGTGAAGTTCTTTCACGATGGCCACGTGATTAAGATCATTATGTCACTTAACAATGCAAATTAATTTAACGTGTATGAAGACACGGTTTATTATAATAAATAGGTAAATGGATACAATAATAATTATATTATTAAAAGGAAAAGAGGAAATTGAACACTACTTCTACCAAGTTGAAAGGTCAAGTCTTTTATGTTTTGTCAGGCTATGATATACAACTCTTTTACCTTTCTAACATCTAATATTAACCACAGCTTTTACTAATCTATTGATTACAGCATGAAAGGCCATGAAGACATGAAATGAAGCAAAATATCACGATGCTCACAAGCTTACCCATATGGGATTGATTGGATCAATGTTTAATCCTTGAATATCTTCACTTTTTTATCAAAGTCAGGTGATTCACAGTGGGAACATCTATCTTGGTTAGGTGAACAAAATCCATGTAACAATTTCTCCCTGCTTAAAGGTAGAGTATAGGTTGATCATTTATCATATGATCTCCGTGGTACAACAGGATTTTATGCATAAAGTAAAATACGTCACTAGTAAAAATTCTC